CATATGTTAATAAATACATACATATGTATATGCTAGTACATGCTAGTTACATCTTGTTGCGCATTTATTGTGGATATTGTAAGTGGCGGTTTATTGTCTGTTTTCCTTGCAAAGTTTTGATAAGAGAAAAGTACAAATGCTATTAAACAAAATAAAGCTATCAGGAGTGATGGGTGGGACATAAAAAAAAAGAAAAAAAATTATTCAACACTTCAGTGATACGCAGACCCTAATGTTAATAATAATAAGTAAGAAATTATTTGGTTGGGACTGTAAATTAGATTCCAGACTGTTCGTTCTTTTTTCAACTGACGTAGGCGCCGGTCCGATCGATCGATTTAAAGCACTCAGAAATAGCGCGCCATTCGTTTCTTATTTTTTGGAGGCATCAAGTGCATTAACTCCTTTGCCATCTACCTATTTTCCGCGGGTTAGGGGCTCAAGAATTTACCCGCGGTAAGGCATGCCTGTCGTAAGAGGCGACTAAAATCCAATAGTTCCCGCGACAGTCGGGTCTTTATACCGGAACGACCCGGATTTTTATCCGGCCAAGGACTGTCACTCCCGCGACATTCCCCAAAAAGTACTTTGGGGAATAATTTTGCGGTTACAACAACAACAACACCATGTTGCCACCTCTTACCCACATATCAGGTTGGGCATGATGAGCGACTTGAAGAGCTTCTTGGTTCGTCAAGAGAGGATCTTACTTTTCATTTATTTACTCAGTCCAAAGTAGCACCTGTTGGCAATAGTGATTCTGCCTTTGATTTTAAGGCTTTGATGTGGTAACCAAGACGCTACCACATCTGTTAAAAATAAGTTTGACGCTAACGAGTCACCTTGTCTGAAACCTCCCTAAGTATCGAATTACGCAAATAGATGCTTTTGGCATCTTTAAAATTACCGAAAAGGTGTTGTCGTCTATGGTATTTTTCAGCGGAATTTTTTAAGTTTTGGCTCGTATAGAATATATTCTCAATGGTGGATTTACCAGACCTAAAGCCGCACTGAACAGATCTAATCAGCTTGTTTAGGGTGGGCTTAAACGTCAACTCTTACGGTCTTCCGTATATAGCACACATTAAAGCCGCTGTTGAGAAGAGTTATCTAGATATTTTTCGAAGTAAGCCGACCATATTCTGCAAGAGTTTTGTGCAACTACGAGTATATTCAAAAATACGATTGAAAATATGATTTTTGGTAGCCACTCGTCCGCAGTTTCGTTTACTGTGGCGACATAACCAAAATCGAAAATAATCCGTATCCATCTGCAGGATAAGTTGTTCGAATCAAAGGTCCCTACGCTGACCAATACATTTTATAGAAAATCACACATGCGGTTTTTTGTAGTAATTTTGCCAAACAAATTTGGTCCTTAAAAGCATAAATACCAGACAATTTTTTGATATATTTTAGCAACTGTTTGGAAAATGCCACGCAATAGAACTGAACACCAAAGCCCTCCCCATTGGTGGTAACTCTGTAGTACGACGTATTCAATCGTATGTTGTAATTTTTTATCAAATAATTAAAAGTAACACTTACATGGTCACTTAACTGCTCTGAGTACAGAATATCAAATACTTTGTAACATATTATGTATTATATATATAGATTAACAGATTTTAATATTCAACGCAGCAATCAATGATTTCTATGTATGTATGAAAAAAATGGAATATCTCGTGATTCATTACTTTAAAACAAATATACATATGTATATGTATGTATATGCATATATAATATATTGTATTATAGTTTTGAATTTTTCTTATTTCGTTTGAAAATGATTGCATTGCAAGTACAGTTAGCCCAAAAAATACTATTCTAACGTCGTAAATTGTATCCGATGGATTGACTTCCGAGCTATTCAAATATGGCTTCGAAGAACGGGCAAGATGCATGCATCAACTTCTCTACAGATTATGGTTGGGTGAAAGCATACCGGATCCATAGAAAGGAGAGCCGTAAAATCTGCCACTCACCTTGGGATAAGCCTCCTCAATGTCGCTTATAAGATTCCATCGAACGTACTGCTTGACAGACTAAAGCCCACCGTCAACATACTAATTGGACTTTCCCAGTGTGGCTTTTGACCGTGGTAAACCCACCACTGAGCCGTTCGGTACCAGACAAGGTCTCAGACAGGGTGACTCTTTAGCATGCAATTTCTCCATTCGACACTGGAGAAAATAATAAGAGCTAAAGAGGTAAATAGATAAGGTACAAAATTTTGCTCGAGTGCACAGCTGTTGGGGTATGCCTGGTATACCTTTTAAGACTGAATGGGTCTGATAGTAAACAAGGAGAAGACGAAATATCCTGTCATCAACTAAAGAGTAACCGCGTTGGGTGCTACTTTGGACGAAATAAGCAATTGAAAAGTAAAGTCCTTTCTCAACCGTCATCTGATGAGTCTGCCTTGGATATCTTCGAGAGAAAAATTTTGTGGTCACGTTCTACGCTACGCTGGCTAGTTCATGTCCTGGTCTGATAGTAGTCGATGCATTGCCCGCTGGTGGAAGCTAAGTAGAAGATCTCGATTCCGTTGCTGACATAAAATGGAGAGTGACCTGACTTCACTTGAAACTTTCAACTGGCGAAGGAAAGAATTTTGATTAGACTATTATTACGTAAACGGTGCCGACGCCAATGAAGAAGAGGAAGAAAAAACTGTTTACTTAATTATTATTTTTTCTTTTTGACATGTAACGTACGACTCTATTAGTAAATGTTTTTTCTAGCCGATGGCGCACGTTCATATTTATATTATGCCAATTTTACATATGTACATATTTACATATGTATGAATATCAATTAAATATGCGTCCAAGGGTTCTTTGACGTAATCATTGATAATGGTGAAATGAGACTTGACTTCAGAATGAATTTGCAAAGTAATGCGTATTAAGCTGGAGTAAATATGTTTCTTTTTTTTTTTGCAAATATAATGTAATATATGAATATACATAGTAGCTAGTAACGTACAGTTACAATTATTGATGTACTTTGTACCTAAATATTTAACACATACATATGCATTCTACATAAATTCAGAATATAATATAAATATTTTGCAATATACAAACGTTATCCATATCAATTTACATCCTGGTATTTATTGAGGAGTAGCTTTCTTACGAAGACAGTTTTATTTTATTTGCCCTTGAAAATGTGAATAGAATTTGGGTATGTCAAATATGGTATTAGATAATCTAATGAACTACATTTGGCCCAGAGAGATGGTCAAGAGATTTTTCAGTCTACTTTTTACAGCTTTAGCAACGACTAAAAGGTATCTCTAAACTTTGTATATGTCGTCTTTTGAAGCCGTGATGTATGAGAAATGCCATGACGTCACGGGAGAATTACCATCAATCCACCCTCCGAAACTAGAAATTGACCAGATCTGATTCTTACTTTTATACTCTTACATCCGATTATTTAAACACTTTACTCTACCTATACGTTGCCCCTATGTCCTCGGAGGTAGCGAAATGAAAGATCTTTCTCCTACAAAATGACTTAAAAATGGAAAATTCCATTTTATAGTTGATGCTGAACGATTGTTGTGCCTGCCTGACCTCACCAAGATCTCATGTCGATATTTTCTTAGTATATTTTCGAGATGGGAATATTTGTATTCCCTCCGTATAGTAGCCCCCCTATTTAAATAAAATTTAAATATTTTTTAAAGGTCTTAGGTTCTGGTATGGAACCATAGAAGTTTGGAAAGATATGAGATCTAATGAATTGGGGTCTCGATATTTCAAGAAAAGTTTCCTGCGAAAGTATTCCACTACATATAGCTTACTCTTGGCTCGGCTACAATCGCGTAAGGGGGGAAAAAGAAAAACAAAAAAATAATATGTCTCTGACTGATTACTTCCCCAAGAATTGTATGCCCCTTTATGCGCCCAACAGTTGGCATCAAAGCCGCCTCTGGTGAACAGACGTTGCTATAATTTTTTAATGATCTCTTAAACTGAAGTTACGCCTCCATCTTACCCGTGGTCCAAGCCTCACATAGGTTTGTTAATTAATATCGCATAACTGTAGTTGCATGCAGGGGGGCAGTTCTGTAGCCCATCACAGCCAGAGTAGTTTCCAAATTCCGATAATGGTTAAGACAAAAGCCTTTGATGGTTAAGACAAAAGCTTCTCAAATTCTACTAAGCAATTAAAGGATAGGTAAGCATGTTCAGCTGCAATAGCTGACTGTTTAGCGCTGCGTGCTGCCATACGGAAGGCCACAGTTCGAGTCCTGACCTGACCGATATACAAAATTATCGAAAATAAATTTTTCTAATTGTCATTTCTGACACGAAATCAGAAGCTCCTCATAAAAATCCATCAGCCTTTCGAGTGTGGCTTAGTAGTAGTGTTTTACTCCTTACTCGATGCCTCGGGTATCTAGAGCTCTAGCCAACTTATTCATATAAATGCAGAGTTTCCAATGTTGACATCTATTCTAACTGCGTTGTGCCTTGTTTTGTTTTGTCAACATGTTTTTTCGGCTCACAAACAAACTTAATTATAGTTGCTTTTTGTTGTTTTGGTGTTATTAACTTACAAGTGGTGGAGATATTCCGCATGCTAAGGTGAATTACCTGAGACTGCGTGTAGGATTTTCAATGATAACGGAATTGAGTTTCATATTGTACTTGGGAATGAAAGGCACAGAGCGTGGGTATGTCTATTTTTTTAAGAAAGAAATCTTATTGGAAACACCTCATACTTCAGACTAATAAACAAACGTCAAGTGTGCGTGTGTGTGTATGCTATTATTTACAAATCTACTATCAGTATATAGTATATTTAATAAAACATATACATACACACACAGCGAAAATTGATAAGAGCCCCAGTGAGCCAACAGCTGATTGCCTCCATTACAATAAGTACAACTAACCCAACAACACTGTAGCGACGCGATAGCGAATTAAGACTTTGACGCTCCAACTAGGCGATTACGAGTATAAAAAGAGCGCTTCTTACTCAGCAGCCAATAGATTGTCGTGAACATTGATGGACACAAGTACTAAGCACAAAACCCAATTAAGCAGACAAGCCGACATATTCCGCAGTCAAAACTATTTTAAAATTTAACCAATAAGCAACAAAGTACGCGCATAAGCACAAACAACAAGAATGTCTACGAAAAATCTACAATCACTCGTTGGAACCACCACACGCTACATCGCCGGCAGAAATGCGATGCAAACGGTCTATTGGCGCACACTGCCAGGCACCAATGGAAAGATGGTGAAGATACACAAAAACTGTGAATTTGATAAAGTACAAAATTTGCCCGCCAAAATTCGCATGCAGTATTATAACAGAAATTATTGGGCACCAACGACCGAGGATGGGCAATGAGTGGTCGCCGCGACGCGTTGGCTCGGGAAAAGCGAAATAAAAAAATAAGCGAATTTTTAGTTCAATAAGTATTCGTTCGTGCGAATGTAATTTAAGTACTGTGTATATATATGTATGCCTTAGTGTTAGTAAGTAATGTCTCAATTTAATTAGTTAATTTTTATATAGAAAAAATAGTAAATTATTAAAATCGAACGACCACATATATGTATGTATCTTGATTTTTCATTCCGTTTTAATACAAAGCAGTGATTGCTAAACGCACATATTTTTTTTTGTATATTTAAATCTGTAAAAGTACACATTGTGTGCGCACGCTTTGTGTTAATGGCAATATTGGACACTTGAATACGTATGTATGTATATATGTAGGTATGTATGTACTCGTAAGTTGGTTTAAGCGCTATAACGAGTAGCGATAAGTTTAAATAACTATTTAATTGTATGTGTGTTTACATATACATACACGTATGTATTTATATATTTACACCTTGCACACGCTCATGGTGTGACTTGGATTGTAGGCCAATGAAAGTCATTACGTTCAAAGTACTTCAAATACATATATACGTACATATGTATGTACCTAAGTATAAATTCTAATGTCAATTGACATATATTTCACACTTCCCATTGAAATATGTATATACTCGTGTAAAAGCTTTATAGCACGGACTTGTGTTGCCCTCTTATGATTAATCGATCATTGAAATTGTATGACGTCATAAGCCATAATAACTTAATTTTATACATATGTTTATAATGTTTTTATTGCGGCACACTCCTCCTCAGAAAATAATTAAAATTTATTTCACGGCGTTGGCTTTTAAAAAGATTTGCTTAGAGACTCATAGAACCGACATTCGTTCATAACTATCAAAGTAAAATAGTTTTTAAGCAATCAAATCCTCAAATTGATGAATAATTCACCTTCGTACTATCTCTGAAGAGATTCGCAAATGAAATAGGAAACATGATTATTAGGCATACGATTTCGGAGCGGCACCATTATAATGATCACAGACAACAACATACATATTAAATACAAGATAACCGCTGAAGCCATCCATTCGTCTTGATAATTTTCTATCATATAGAGGTATAAGTATACAGTTTGAAGCCATCTTCGAACAAGTGAGGGACTTTTGTGCAGAATATTGGAAACCTTAAATATTCTATCTATTTTCTCAGGTGATAAAAAAATGTCTAAATACGATACCAAAAAGCCTACCGAATCTGTCGCTAAGCTACCAGGAGCATCACTTTTCCAGCTGATTGTTTTTCTTTGGACGTTTGAAAGAAGCTTACCGATTACTCCTCACTCCACCGACGATCGTTTTATTTCCGGAGTGAAGTGAAGGATCTATATTTCACACCGTTATCACTTATATATATATAATTAGCACCTTGTAACCGCTGGAGCGCTTTTCCGTCGAGCAACTTCTTCAGTTTGTGGTTTTGCGTCTTGGTGTTTTTCCAATAAATGGAGGGACTTATAGTTTATACTAAGCCCCCTCCGAACGGTTTTTTTATGAGGAACTTTATTTCTTGTCAAAAGCGCACTCGAAGGGGTGGACATTCCCTGCCGGGGGCGACCGCAACTTAACTTAATTTTTTATTTTAAATTAATTATCGATAACTTTTGGATGTTGGTCGCATGAGGATTTGAACCCGAGTCATCCGAATGTCAGGACGCAATGCTAACCACACGTCTACCGCGGCCGCCGATCATTTAACAACTCGAAATTTCATTTTGTTCAATAATCACAACTGCGTGAACTGCGTTCTGCATCATTGACGCCTCTACGACCACGGCTGTATCGAAAGACGTTGGTTATTGTTGTTTCTGGTAGACCAGAGACGCTCTTTCCAATACACCACTTCCCTTAAACGGTATTTTCTCCCATCAAAAAGCATTATACAATTTAATTGTTTTTTCTTAGCATAATAACTAACAAACTTATCAGTAGAATGCCATGATATTTTAAAAATTTTCTATGAAGATTAGTACCAATTGAAAGAGAGGTGAAGGCAATAAAACCAGCGTCATCTACATATGTGTAAAGCTCCATTTTGCTCCAATTAGTTGAATAAAATAAAAATAATATTTACGATAAATCTAGACAACGGACTTAAGGCCGCAAGTGAATAAAAGGGTTGAAAATGATATTTTCAAAGTTGAGTAGTATCGTAATGCACTTAATACACACTAAATTCACCTTTCAATTCTTAAAACTTGAATGGACGGAAATTACGAATATTATATTCCATTAATATAATAGCCAGAGCTTCACTTCCAATAGTAGTGTTTAGTAAAAATTACTACGAACACGTCGCAATTGATCACACCTGTTTCTGTTTTACCCAGAGCACGCTTTGCATATCAAAAGGTTGCTCATACGCCATGGCAACACATGATCGTCCATTTAAAAACAATAAGCACAACCAACACAATTTGTCTAATTATTCCAAAAAACTTGAAAAAAGTAGTGACAACTGTTCAAACGTTGTATTGCCACAACATTTGCTAACAACAAACTAATCAGTATCATAACATAGGCGTGGAATTACACATTTTGGACCAATGCCAAGACTGTCAATATGTTTGGTGTGCCAATTCTGAAGAAATCAATTCGATAACAGTTGTATTCCATATTTATTCTAATTTATGCTGAGCTCATGACACAATTTCCATGAAATGTTTATAATGCGCAAGCGTGAGAAAATTTTTTAAAAAGGAATAAAGCAAACGATTAAATCAAATAGAATTTTTTTTTCAAATTGTAAGAAAAAAACATAATAATATTGATATAAATATAAATTTGCGACGTGATAGAAGTTTTAATAATATAAGAAAAATTACAATGCGAATTGAGAGCTTTAAATAATATTCCATACAGGCATTTCTGCAGCCATGAATTATTTCTGCGTTTTGATCAATTTAGGTAAAAATATTAATGAATGCATAAGTTCGTGCCCGATTTCAAGTGCAAACTAAAACTGAAATTTTTTGAAGAAAGCGCTTTTATTAATCAATTATGTATTCGTCATCATGTTTGGCAATCCACTCCCAACGTTCAACCAATTTACGGATGCCTGATTCATAGAAATCGAGCGGTTCCTCGTTGAAAAAGGTGTCAAGGTGGTTTTTGACGTCTTCCACATTTTTAAATTTTTTCCCATACAAATTGTTCTGCAGCGATCGAAACAAATGATAATCAGAAGGTGCAATGTCGGGTGAATATGGGGGATGCGGCATGATTTCCCTATTCATCTCCTTCAGTTTGGCCAGGGTCGGTTTTGCAACATGTGGCCTGGCGTTGTCATGATGGAAAAGAACTCCTTTGCGATTGGCCAAAATCGGACGTTTTTCATCAATTGCTTTCTTCAATTCGACCAATTGCTGACAATACTTGTTGGCAGTGATCGTTTCTCCAGCTGGCAAGAGCTCAAAATAGATCACGCCTCGGATATCCCACCAAATGCACAGCAGTACCTTCATCGGATGCAATCCACCTTTCGACATCGGTTCCGCCCCTTCGTGTGCCTGTTTCCATGTTCTTTTGCGTTGAACATTGTTGTACAGGATCCATTTTTCATCACCAGTCACGAGCCGATCCAAAAAAGGTTCGTTTTTGATCCGTCGAAGCAAAGAAATTGCTGTTGACATACGGTCCACTTTGTTTTTTTCACTCAACTGATGTGGCACCCATGTATCGAGCTTCAAAGTGTACCCAACCTTTTTTAAACGACGAAACGCAGTTGATTTGTTGACGTTCAATTCACTGGCAACCTCTTCCGTCGAAATACGTGAGTTATTCGCAACTAAAGTCCTTAGAACATCGTCATCAAGCTCAGAAGGCCGTCCACTGCGAGGTTGATCTTCGAGGTTAAAATCTCCAGAACGAAATTTCGCGAACCATTTATTTACTGTGCGGAGTGCTGGAGCATGGTTTAAATAAACTTCGCGAATATCTTTAGTTGCAGCGCCTACTGTTTTTCCTTTGCGGAATTCGTATAACATAATATGACGCATATGATCTTTTTCGTTGTCCATCTTCCATGCGTCTTTTCACTAAGCAACTCAAGTCAAAATGAAGTCATTTTATGCTTGATTTAAAGTTCGGACTGTCACCTTTCCAACGATATATAATATGTATATATTTCTTTCACGAGCGCCACTCTCAAATGATTCGAACGGTATCCAGCGGAATCGGGCACGAACTTATGCACTCATCCAATATAACTAAATGCTCTTCCTCCAATCTATGGTTTTCGTTCTTGATGTTTTTCCAACAAATGGAGGGACCTACAGTTTATACTAAGCCCCCTCCAAACGGCTGTTGATTTATTTATGAGTAGCTTTTATTTCATATCAGAAATACACACTGAGAGGTTGACATTCCTTACCGAGGGGCGACCGCAATTGGAAAATTTCGCATATTTTTTATTTAACTTCAAATATAGACCGTTCAATTTTATTCAAATTATATCTATTTTCGTCGATTACGATAAAAACCTACCATTGTAATAAATCTCAAGCAAAGCGCACTTGCTCCCAAAAATTCAACCAACCATACATAAAATATATTTTTCTTAATAAAATCGCTACCTTGTTCATTTCGGGGAAAGCATGTAAAGTCGTACCATAAGCTCAATCTTTTTTTTGGTTCAGTATCCGCTTTTTAAGAAGAAAAATTGGTCTTTATCTAAAGTTAGGCAAACAGCGACTTGATTACCATATTTCAAGTAATGCGAAAAATAAAAAATATGTTTTTGAAACTATGCTTTTCTAATGTTGTCAACTTTTTCAAAAATATCCAAAGTTCACAAGAGCACATCTGGCGAGTCTCTATCGATTTCTGTGGTCTGACGTTGTTCTGATGAAGCACATTTCACCTTTTGTTAGCCAAAGCTCTGTACTTCTGTGCGATTGCTTTCTTCAGAGGATTCAATTAAGTGTTTAGCTGTAGATGAGTCAATCTTCGGCTTTCAGAGCCTTTGTGCTAATTCTTTGCTCTTCGACCACGACAGTTTGCGTTTGACGTTGCTGTAAGTGATCCACTTTTCATTACCAGTTACCATCCGCTTGAGAGAGGAATTGGTTTTGTTAGGTTTCAGCAGCGCTTCACAGATGAAAATTTGGTCTGCGGTTTTTTTCTCGTTAATTCTTTGGGTAACCAGCCTTCATCAAGTGGTTTAAAATTGTCT